TAGTTTCTCCTTCAAGCTTGGAAGGGGAGGGTGTAGTGAGGGCGTTGCAATCTGCAAGTACACCGCTTGATGCCACTAAATCCTACACACTGCACCTTTAAAAAGATCAAACTGAACCCCTTGACAAGAACACATCCTGTGGTTGCACTGCATTTTGTTCAGTTGAGGCTACTGTTCATGAGTGTTTTGATACAAAATGGTGAATTTAAAAACTATCCTACACTTTGGTCAGAAACCACCATTATATTCTTTCTTATATTTTACTTTGTACTGGATATTGTGATATCATCTATTTTTTTTATTTATCAACAAATGGAAAATAAAATACAACATCAGTAAAGTGATTGCAGAATGCACGTTACAACAATGCTTTTTTAAACAGTGTTTATGGTGTTAGAGGCTGGATTTTCCTCTTTAAATTACAGTTGCATCAACACATCACACTACAGCCTTATGGTCCAATCCTCTGAGACTGAGTTTCGACTGCAGACTTTATTCCTGTTTGCTTTGGAGGGATAACGCGAGTCTTCATGCCAAGATTTTCTTTGGAGGATGCAAGGAAAACACCAGCATGCATTATTCTACTCTGGAGGGAGACGGCAGAGGAGGATAAAGAGATAGAGAGACAGAGAAAATTCAGAGAGGGAGAATATAGACAGAGAGTGACAATAGAATGAGAGTGATGAGGCGATTCTCTGAAGACTGGGCTTTGTAGTCTGTGTGGGAGTAATTTCGTCCACAGCTCCCCTCTGTAATTGTCCATCGTGATTAAAACTAGAAAAGCATGGTGATTGGTTCTCGGTCTTTTGATGGATTCTATCTGTCTGTCAGACACTGCTGACCACACAGATGATCCTTTTGGACACAATCTCGCCATTATGTTGTGACATTTTATAATAATTACATATTGCCCACATTGACGGCTAAAACAAGACCGCATTTGCTCTAATTGTCATTTCACCTTCTTTGTAGTTTTTACAATCTCAAGCAGAACATAAATCAAATATAGACAACACATTTACATTTGTTACTAGTTAGCCCCAGGGGGGCTGTGTCATTAATGTTTTTGTTATTGTTGTTCTACATGCTTCACAGAGGCTTCTTTGTTGGATGGAGCAAAACCTGGAGAATGCATAGTTCTAAGTTATATCGGTAAAGGGTTTGGTTCACCCAAATAACAAAAATATTTTTGACCAAATAGTTCTAGGCACTGAGGAGTAGGAGTGGGAATCGAGAACTGATTCCAGTTGAGAACTTGTTGTCCGATCCATCGGATCGTATGCCACCATCAATTAATTTTATCAATGCCAGCAAGCAGGAAATGGTCCAAAGCGTGGCCTCATTTCACAAAGAAACTAATAAAACCATAGTGTTGACTCTGAAAACCTGATCAACAAAATTGATCAGGAATCGACAAAGAAGCAAAGAAAGTAAAATCTCATAAATGCCCGTCCCTTCTAAGGAGCCACAAATCAGAAATTAAGATGAATTTTTGTACACTTCTGTTTGAATTCTCATAGCATCTGAAAAACCACGAAGAAGAGGCTAATTAGTCGAACAACAGATTAAAAAACAAATGCCCTGAGATACAATTTTCACACATGGATACTATTTCTGCCTTAGTAGACAAGGGGGTAATTTCTACATTCCAGTGAGAGGATACAGGAGTTGATAAAAATACACACACATCTGAGTTGCCTTCAGTTATTACCATGTGCCCAGCAATTAACATTTATGAGAAGTGAGTAATTTGTGCATGTTTTTGCCCCAATTTTTTTCTCTCGGGCTATGTAGAGGGTGCCCTATCTTATTGGCGGAAGCTGTTCGGGATGTATGCAGCCTGAGAGGAAGACTGCAGGTATTACTGTGCATTTAAAGTTAATATACTCCGAAAAAGACGCTAGAGTTATCAGGTCTCCATTAAAGAGCTAAAAGTGAATATAGGATAACTTAGTACATTAATAATCTACTGACTTATCTAGCATTGCTAATTATTTTGTTATAATACCATTATTAGGCATTTTCATCAATATATTCTTAGGAAACGTCCTACTTAGTACTAAGTTAGAATGTAACCAAACTGAATCAAATAGCAAATTAAGTTTTGCTCTCTTTTTAACTCTCTTGTTCTCTCAAACGAGGCTGCAATCTCTAGCTCTCTCTCTGGTTATCTTACTTTTAGACCTGTCAGGAATTGGAACCATTTTTTCATGTCAACAAACATTATAAGGAATGTCTGTCCTTCATCCTAAAATTGATAGTAGTGGCACCCAGTGCTTGCTTACTGCTCTCTGTTCTCAACCTGGGATCCGGGGACTCCCAGAGGTCCTGGGGTTCTAAGGAAAATGGTCAACATTTTATTTCACTATTATTTCACTGACAAGAAGTTAGCCCAATGCAAGTATGTATAAGAATGATTATTCTCTTTCACACACTTGGAATAACTAAATTATATCAGACAGGGAACCCTGAGACTACATCCTATCAAATACACAGCCTGATGTGTATCAGTTTGGGGGTCTTTAAAATTAAAAAGGTAGAAAACGACTGCAGTGGAGGAACTGAATTCAGATCCTGATTCTTTCAATCGTGATGCATGCAAGGGTTCTGTGTTCTTAAAATAGTTTCAGGGCTTCTGGAAAAGTTGCTGTGGTGGAAACCGGCAGGTTCCAACCTTATAGATAGTTCTGGTTTTATTTGTCCCACTTTTGAGATATCCGTCTGAGATTTCTGCCTCTGCCACAATATGATGGAGGTGAATGGAATTTTGTTTGTGTTGCTCACCGCACTGAAACCTTCATTGTATTGTAAATTTCAGTGGCCTCAATTTCTGGGCAAATTAATCCAAAACTATCTGCATGGCTGGATACCACAAGAGGAAGCTGTGAACATATTTTTTAGTAACTGACTCTTTAGGGTTTTCATTTTCTTCGCTCTTTGTGTTTTCGGTTGTACTTGTTGCAGCTTGCCTACAATGCCGAAGCAACACCTAACAGGCGTGTGTCTTAATACTGGCGATATGGAATGGAGCAGTAATAGAATATCACTGTGTGACAGCAGATTGCATGACCGTGTGTGTGTGGAGCGATATTGCTGCAGATGGATAATAAAGCAATCTGTTTCTGGATCTTGTAATTTAAAGCGCTCCTCATTCCCAGCCCTCCCTCTGCAGCTCATCTCCCATCTCATCTCCACCAAAATTAGATTGGAGGAACGGGGTACGGCTGCCTTCCCAGTATGTGTGTGCATGAGTGTGTGGATATACATCAGTGTATGCACGTGAACGTTTGGGTTTGTGTGTGTTGGAAGGCGTTTTCTTTCCTTTTTTCTTCCTCCATCTCTCACACACAAGGCAAACTTTCTCTCCATTATCATACATTAGCATTATCACTCCCATGCTCTGCTTTATTTGGCTTTCATTCCACCAATCCCGACGTGTGACCGTATATCCAGCTGTCTGAAATGACTTATCGATTTTTGCTCTCCCATTTCTCCTTCCGGTCCCTCCTCAATTTGTTCACCTGCTACTCTGGGGTGTCTTTGCTGGATGGAGGGATAAGTCATTTCAGTGTGTTGTGGGACACGGTGTGTGCACAGAATTAAGAGAGGAATGAGCCTGTTTGAGTGGAGGACCATTTCTATTCATGGTGAGGTGGATGTTAATGGATGCTTTGTATGACAGTTAAGTCAAAATGAAGATGGATACTGTCAGAGGAAAAGAAGATAGAAGACATTTGCAAAAAATAAAATGTAACCCATGAGATGAAAATCTCAGCTAACCAACTCTAACACAATTACTTTTATTTTTGAATTGCAGACATGACAGACAGGTATTTTATATTTGATTATTTTTTATTAAAAAATGTTAAAGGAATAGTTTAGGGAAATATGCATATTATTATTTATGAGTATGAGATGAGAAGATTGATATATATCTTGTGCCTGAGCGTTAAGTATGGAGCTGAAGTCAGGAGGTATTTTAGCCTAGCTTAGCATAAAAACTGGAAGCAGCTTGCCTTGCCAACTATCTGTAAATCTGACTGCAAACACTCCAACAATTTAGGTACACATTCTTCTTCCTTATCAAAACCTGGCTCCTACAGTACCCACAATGCAACTGGACCAACAACACTTTGATCAGAGATTTGGGTGTTTAATGCTGCTAATGGAGCCTTAAGCCTCTAGCCTATATCATAGATGAGGAGGTCAGCAGTGTCTTCAGCCCCAACCGCCACTGACTTGAGTGACATCACTTGAGGACATTTAAACAGACTATAATGTGTAAAATCAAGTTGCCCTGTAACGTACTGTTCTGATTATATGTGGAAACCGGCACTGTGCCAATTAATTAGTTGTTCATCAATACAAATTGTAATTTTTAATTTTTTTTGCTTGTGTAGAACTTTAACAAGCAAGAAACATGCAAATAAGATGACTTAAAAAGTGCTGCAAGGCATATTTTTGAACTTTGACCAGCTCTCTCCCTGTCTCTACTCTATATGCTAAACTAAGCTAAGCTAACCAAGACTATGTTTTGTACTAATAAACCTGATAGTAAAGTTAAAAATGTAGAACCATTCCTGTAAAACCATCAAGACAACACAAGCTATACCTTTCCAATAAGCCAACAAAACCAATCATCTATAGTTTTTGGATACAGAGCTGCATAAAAAGCAGCTTTAAATGTTGTCCTCATTCCAACTTTTCACTGAAGTCACATCCTGCTTATAAAAATAATTCAAAGTCAAGATGGCACTTTCTGTATGTGCAGTTCCAACTGGATCGCTTTATAAACATTTCTGTGCAATTAATCCTGACATATTTGGCATCCGTGGAGATTTCAGAGGGTTTGAACGACCCTTTGACACATTCTGTGCTGTGTGCGCATGTGTATGTGTTCTAATTCAAGAATTAAGGCTCAACAGGGGAGGAGTGGCAGGGTCGAAACTTTGTCTGTGCTTTAACTCCATGTGCTAGATGAAGAAAATGTGTTTCCGTACCTTGGTTGGTGTCAAAAATGTTGACATTCTTGGTGAACTTGGAGCTCTGGTGTCCTCCTCCCTGCCGCAGTCCTCCGAGCAGACACAACCGCCCACTTGTGTCCCATATCACGCCCCCATACGAACGTTTACAAGGCATCATGGGCAGTGTAGTCCAAGAACGTGTCTCTGCGTCGTACACCTCGAAGGCCTTCACTGGTCGCTTACACTGACGACCACCTGAAAGATTGCATAAAAAGAATACTAACATATATCCTGTAACTCTGTAGATGGTTATATGTGGTATTAAAATTGCGAGGAATAATTTTTGTTGTTTAACACACAAAGTGAAACTGTTGTATAAACACACCCACACTGGTGTGCTTGTACCTGCCACGTAGAGCTTGTTGGTCAACAGATGTGTGTTGGCATCGTAGCGTGGGGTCGGCATGGGAGGAAGTAGCGCCCACACGTCCTTTCGAAGGTCATACTGCTGCAGGATGCTACGAGGCAGCAGGTCAGCACCCATTCCCCCCACAGCAAGAGCCCGGCCATCTACACACACACACACACACAGAGTTTCCATCTGAGAATATGAGTTCAGTCTCAGTTCACAGTTTTTGTAATGATACATTTCAAGGACTTTTCAAACACTTTCAAGGACAAATTATTTCAAAATTAATGGCCAATAATTCACATAGATCAGATATACCTGTCTAACCCAGCAGTACAATACAAAGACTTGAATGATGTACTGTAATTAGATGGTAGATGAAATTAAAGGCCAGGCACCACCCGGGAACAGGATGAAACTTTAGATAGATAGAGACCAAAATACAAGACTTTCTTGCAAATTACTTTGTACTTTCTTATCATTAAATTATGCAAAGTAGGCTATGACCCATTAAATATGCACTTATTTGCATTATAGTAATAGTCAGATAATTTTGTCAAAATATAGTTTTAAAAGTTCTTTATGTTGGAAAACGTGTCATACGTGCAGAAAAACACAATTTTAACCTCATTAAAAGATCCCAAAAAATCGCTATCTCTTTTCACAGAATCAAGTAGGGATGTAATGATGCACTCAACTCACACTTCGATACAATTCACAATATTGGGTCCACAACAGGATTTTCTCACGATTTTTTAACAAAATGAGATTAAAGACAAATTATGAATGAAAAATATATGCATATTTCCTTTTCTTTGTAAAAATGAAACTGATTACTTTGCGCCCAGATGCAGCTACTGCCGTTAGTGACTTAGGACGTCAAACAAGCAAAGTCTGAAATAGATAGCGCCCTCTGCTGTTTTTTTCATTTCACCGTTTTTAATCTTCATATATCTGTACCGCAATTTAACTGTTTTGCAATATATCTTTACATTCCTGGAATGGAGTTATTGAGGTTATCGTGCTTTAAAAAATCATTTTCAGTGTATGTACAATTACAAATCTGTAGATTCTGGAGAATTTGGACAAGCCAACCAGGAAGTGTCTTAAACCTGCAGATGCACCTGCATGGGCTGCAATAAAACCGAAACCATGCGGTCTAATCACTTGAATTATGAGCTCATTAAACAGTTTCCTACATCTTTAGTGTGCTGTTTATCTGCTATGGATGCGTAGAAACTGCGCAGCCAATGAGACTGAGCTCCGACAAACTGTCATGGCGACGACTGCAACGCCAAACTCAGGGCTTCAAAATGGTACTCCACAAACAAGTGGGTGACGTCATGATAGGTTCACACTTGGTTCAGCTATCGCTACCGAATGTTAGTGTCTGACCTTACTGTACCATTTTTTTGTCATCAATAGTTGGTACAAAACAAATCAACATATTTGGATCTGATGTTTACTCATAGGAAAATGTGCCTTCCAACCATACTTGTTACTTCATGGTTATGCCAACTATTTAACTTATACATTAAAAAAAACCATTGAGAGAGACAGGAAGTGAGTTTATCAAGCTTGGTACTGCGCTCCAGATGTATAAAAATGGCATATTGGTGACTGCAAGCACTTTCATGGATCTCTTTCCTGCTCTGCAAATCCAAGCACTTTCAAATACTTTCCAGACCCAAAGGACGCTGTATGAAATCTGTATATGACAACCTTCTCAAAAATGTTGCTAAAATTAGTCAAACAATAACAACCTGCTCAACAATAATCAGCTTGTGAAAGACCAATCCCAGCAGACAGAAACACCTCACTGGCACTTTATTTTATGAAGTGCTAAAAATGTGCAAAGCCAGAGAGTCGGATGAGAAGTTCGTGACGAGGCAGGAGACTGTGACAGACACGAGAAGGACAGGGAGTACAGCAGCAGAATAAAAATGCAAGAGTCCGCGTCTGGCACTTTGGCATGACACATCGAGCATAAGAATGGAAGTGGGTGAGAGTGTTGGCACAAGGGAGGATACAGCCTTAACCGTCAGAACGAAGAGAAAAGGAGCTGCAGGGAAACAATCTGCATTTTTATTAAGTTTTTGTTTATTCATTTTTCAGGTGTTTGTGTATAAAGCAATTTGCTTCAAATTCTAACCTCCATACATTTACGTTACATAAATAACAAAGTTTCCCAAATACTTTATATTCATTTCGGGGAATAAAAAAGCTCATTACCTGAAGTTCATTATCTAATACCTGGAAAATAAAGATTCTAAAAATGTCAATAAAAATGGCATCATTTAGTCATTTCGGTGACTGATTATCCATTTAAAAATACCATATTTGTTTTAATTTGGCCCTATCGATCATTTTGTCAGGCTATTTGTCTCTTTTCCAGCTGCTGGGGATGAGTTTGGGGATGAAACTGCAAGCAAAGGGCTGCGGATTGAAGATTGGTCAGGGAGATGGAGAGGGCAGCACCATGAAGCCTATACGCGGCCAATAAGTCTGTGTGTATACAGCATCTATCTGCGTTCCAGCAGACGCTGACAGATGCACGGCTGGACTGAACACACAAACTCATGCGAGGCTGGAGAGGTGTGAGGCTGAAAAGACTATTATTTATGTAGACTGCTGGACTCAAAATGTGAGAATAAATCTGAGAGTCGGAGCCCAACAATTGCTCCATTGACATCAAAAGGGAACACTTCTTAAAATTCAAGTGTATTGAACTGTTGTTTGAAGTGTTGTTCATACAGTTCAACATCTTGGGGAAAATACCTCAAACGTTTGCTTTGTTGTTGTCAAAGTTTTTTAATTGAATCTTGGCAGCAGCATGGTTCCAAATGTGCAGTTTGATTGATATGATCTGGTGCACGACTTGCATTCAGAATGCAACAACACATTCATTATTTACACTACGACAATAAGTGCACACTCTTTATATAATACTTTATATTATACTCCACACTACGGCATGTAGTCACGGTAACAGAAGCTGGGTGGAGCAATATTCATGTGGAAGTGTTATTAATATTCCACCTAGTCTGTTCAGCTTTGACTACTACAGTAACTGTGACGGACAACTGGCTGACAAATCTCTTTTCTGGAGAGACTCTGGACAAGACACAGACTGACAATCCTTACAGTATAATATAGACAGTTTTCACAGCAGCCATTTTGACTTGAAAACGTTATATGAAGTAGTTTGACAGGTGTTGACACCAATGATAATAATTCAGTTCCATTTAGTGCAACCAACATGCACAATAGCAGAACCCTGACTCTGTTTGACCTGAATGGAATGGAATTACTATCATTGGTAACACCTGTGTTTATCCTACTATTTCATGTCAAAATAGCTGCTTTGGAAAAGGTCTATCATATCAGATGAGAAAAATACCATAAACTTAGTGCTGAGTAGCTTCAACAGAATGTAAGCTATATGCTATCATACAGTCAAACTAAGCTAAAGTTGGATAAAATCACCATATGCAGTAAAGACCTTTTTCACAGCAGGCATTTGGACATGAAATAGTAGGGTAGGGTAAACACTGTTGTTACCAATGATACTAATTAAGGCTCTGTTCCATTTAGTGAAGCAAAGCAAACATTAATTGAACAGAACCATAATTAGTATTATTGGCAACGCCATGAAAATGGCTGCTGTGAAAATGTCTCTTGATAACAGAGAAATACTGTACCAAAGGTTCCTTTAGGAATATTTTCAAAGTGTGCTAGGACCCTGTAGAGAAATTATACTCAGATACAGAGCTTATAATGATAACTAAGTCAGCTTATGTTCTGGATTTTAGGGTAGACAATTTGTGGTCGGTTGGTCCATATGGTCATGTCCGACCAAAATCTGTGGTCAGACAATTGCTGAGTGTTCATTTTTAAGGAGAAAAGCATTTCTTAATCTGTTATTGTCAGGAGCAGGAGGAACATATGCAGACTTGAGGTATGTTGATGTATGCTATTGTTAGAAATAACATTGATTATGAAAATAAATACTCAAATATATTTTACTCAACAAATGTGGTTATGTTTTAATAATTATATGGTTTAATAGACAATAAGTCATATAAGTCAGGAAGTCAAAACTCCCCCGTCCTCACAACTGGCAGCCTGGAGACCGCAGGGCTTAACTTACTGAACATTTACTCAGCTCCAAACTAACTGACACAATGTCAGATAACCAGCAAAACATCTCTGCATCTGCCCCCAGTCTCCGAGGACAGAAGAGCTGAGTGGATAAAGTTGATTTTTGATGTGCATGTGCATTTTACTACAGACTGCTACAGAGTAACGAGGGCTAATAAAGGTTCGAGCTCAACGGTGGATCGATAACATTACTGGCTGTGACCCAACTTCAAACTTGGAAGCTGTAAGTTTTCCCATGTTTTATGTTGTTTTAGTGTTAATGTTGTTGTTTAGCCTGCTGAACTGTGTTAGCATGTTGCTAAGTGTCTACTCAGGCTGGGGGACTTTGGACTAATGTTGTAACACTGAGGGACAGTAAAGAGAAACTGTATGAACGTTAAGTCTCATTTGAAGCCAACTTAATAGCAACAGTAGTAGGTTGGATGCCGGTAACTGTTTTTTCTGGAGCTGCGCTGCTTTAGCTATGTTGTTGTATGGACCTCCTCCCACACCTGACACAAACTCTTTATCTTTTTTATCTTTCTTGTCTTTATTTACATATATTTTAGAAGTACTTTGTTCTTGTGTGATTTGTATATTTTATGCACCAAGACAAATTCCTCGTATGTGTAAAAACCTACCTGGCAATAAACCAAATTCTGATTCTGATTCTGAAGCCTGTTTCACTGCATGGTCCTGTATGTGTGTGCTGCTGCTGTATGTAAATTGATAGATATGTCCTGAAGGTAATGATCTATCTGTGAAAAAGAAATGGTCAAAGTGCAGGAATCATTTTGCTTGGCAATGTTGTGAAACTCTGATTAGAGAGCACTGTGGTAGATTTAGGTACCGTGCAGATTTCTTTTCCCCCACCGATTTCCCCCGTCGATTGGTTGAAGAGTAGATAGAATTTCAGTTGACCAAGGTTTTTATTGGTTGACTACAGCCTTACTGGATCAGCCCTACTGATGTTTATGATGTCTATACTGGTTAATAGCGTTTCCCTCCAACAGACTGCTTCTATTTTTCATGCAGTCCTGCTGGCTGAAAAATATAATACATCTGTTGCTGCATTCATGAAACATATTTGGCATAATCAATAACAAATTTCATGTTCCAGAAAAAGCACGTGTCATGGCTTCATATTTCTATGCATGTCATATTGGGACTGATTAAATCAGTAGCGTAATGAAATGAGATACTACGACTGGGTAGTGGACACATTTGAAAGATGAGTGTCACGACCTCTTACACAATATTGGTGGACTCAAATGCACAACTCTGGGACAGACGAAGATGTAGAAAAAAATTTGATTTAGTTTATCAAACAAAAGGCACTCTCAAGGAGGGTAACAAAGTGCAAAACAAAAAGACTCTCAAGGAGGATATCAAAAGTGCATAACAAATCGACAAAAACTTCAAATAAAACATGAAATAACCTGAACACTGGGCTGGAACACTTGACGATACTCTTTACCAACTGAACAAGACGAACTGACAAAGACAAAGGGAGAAAAGGACTATTTATACCAGGTGTAAGTGAAAACAATCAGTGGGTGGGGCAAAGAATTACAAAGGCGGGAAAATCACACAAAGGGAGGAAGTCAGGGTCTGAATTGTGAGGGAAAAGGTGAGTACAAAATAAAACAGGAAGGACTAAACATGAAACACTTAACATGAACATGACTAAAATTAACACACTTGACGAGACACAACACTGAGCAAGTGTTTCTCTTCTGGTTTCTGTCTGGAGCTGTACTTTTTCTTTAGAAAGTTTACAGTTCTTATGTTTAAGAGAAGAACTTATATAGAACTGAATAACCGATATGAGATTTAACCCACACAGCTAATTATTTTTAATCAGCCACACACTTTGTTCTCATTATTGCCAGCTTTGCACACACCACTGTACCGCCCCGATGTGAAACTGGAGGCCTATATGTATGAGCATTAGTGTGCAATTGGGACCAGTGTTGGGCAAGTTATTAAGAAATAGTAATAAACTACAGTTACTAGTTACTTCTATCAAAAGTAATTGAATTACTTTACTAATTACTGCATGTAAAAGCAATTAGTTAAAGTAGTTTTGTGTTACTTTTAAATATCTGCTTCAGTTCTTTTATTAATGCACACAGCTGTCAGATATTTTATTTTAGTGTTTTAAGTTTTAATACTCCTGACCACTAGAGGGCAGCAACAACTAGCGTTTCTACCTGTAAGGTACACAAATTGTCTTAATTAGTAGACAAGAAGATTTAGTAGAAGAAGACCCACTCAGATGTAAACACAAACTGAGCTTTGCTATCGTAGTTAATGGAAGAATGGAAAGCAAGCTCACATTGCCTGAAACATCTTGGGCCACTGTATGGACCGACGTGCTGCGTTTCTACCGTATTCTGCAGTTGTACTTTCAGGTGAGACAAAAGTAACAGGTTAGCCCATTTAAATATCAGTAATTTTAACTGCGTTATTTAAATTGCATACGTAATTAGTTACATTGCTAGTTACCGCCAAAAGTAATGGTTATTACAATTACAGTAACGTCTTACTTTATAACGCATTACACTGATTAGGACACACGTTATAAACCCTGGGTTCTGCCAGCTTTTTGCAGTACTAACATGACTTACTTACTACGATATAGTCTACATACCTTTCACAGTGATGGATACACCCATCAAGGCCTCCCGCAGAGCGCTCCTCTTTCTCCATCTCCCTTCGTCTGTGTTGTACATCTCCACCATTTTCAGGGGGCTCTGGTCCTCTCCCACTCCTCCCACCACCAGGATTTGCTTTCCCAGCACTGCCACAGCTGCACCAGCACGAGGGGTGGGCATGGGGGGCAGGCTTATCCACCGGTCCCCCTGTAAACAGGGACAAGCTGTTACAGACAAACCAAGTTACATCTTTGTTAAAAGAAACAAAGTGTTCAGGTTGTATTCCCTTTCTCACACGTGACACACTTAATAAGTTGATGGCTCACACAGGACAGAACGGATACTTCATTGAGGCTAAATACATAATACATAAAACAAAAACAGCACACAGAACTGTTCAAACATCATTATGCCAGGCAACATTTCAGCTGCAGTTGTAACACAGCCAGGTCAAAGTTTTAGTTTCCCCTTTCTTACTTGGTGCACCTGCTGGGATTTGCTAGTTTATTTCCAATTGAAATCAATTGATTTGTGACAGTATCTTCAGGGGGATTTTAAATAAATAAGGATACATTACACAGTGGAAACTGCAGCTACTGTACAGATAGTACTTTTCTGTTGGTTTGTTGTTGACATTATAAGCTTAACATTTCAGATTTATTTCCCCCTTCGGTGTATTCGGAGCATTTGGGAAATGCCACACGTCATGTGTACATGTTTGAGCGTATGTATGAATGTGTGTCAGATGTTTTGTTGTTGATGTTATTTCTGACATCAGAAATAGTACTTGTTAATGTCTATTTTCACTCGGGACGAAAAATGAACCATTGAATCATCAATACAGTGTCCACATTGCATTTGTTTGGTACCTCGGGGGAGTAGAGCTCCAGGGCCGGGCAGGGCCTCCCTGCAGCGTCACAGCCCCCCAGCATGTACATCTGCCCCCCCACCTCAGTCAGAGTGTGATAGACGCGGCCGCTGGGCAGTCGTGCCAGGCTCTGCCAGTGAAACTCGTGGGCTGAAGGTACCGCCATGGCTCACCGAGGCAGGGAGGGATGGGGGATGATTTGGGGGTGGATTGATCAGGAGCTGGGAGACTGGAGTCGGGGCCCTAGGGTGAGGGGGAGGTTTTTTATTGGAGAGGTGAGGAGGAGGTGAGCGGTGGGAGAGACGGATCAGCTAAAGGCCAGGCTGAGCTCTCCTCTCCTGGGGACGCTCCGCCGCCTCACGCAGGGCCCTGGAGTAGATATGAAATGAAAATGGATTGAGCAGTGCACACCGAGCAGAGCAGAGCATCAAACAGTGAATACATTTATAAGAACTTCAATGAGGAGCGGTGTGTGCATTTTCAGTGAGTTACAAGAATGGACATACAGTAATCTAAAAGACACACATTTCACAGGGAGATATTCCACTGTTTGCTGCACAACACATAACAGTAGTGCTGCAACAATTAGCCAATTAATGAATCAAAAGAAAATTACCAACTATTTTGGTCACTAATTTATCAATTATAAGTAATTTCTTAGGTAAACCTCCCAAATATTATGTGGTTTCAGCTTCTCCAGTGAATAGCTTTCCTCCTATGTGTTTTATATTACAGTTAACTGATTATCCTTGGGTTTTGGACAGTTTATTTGAAGAAGTCACCATCAAATATTCAACAAAATATTGGCAGATTATTTGATAATGAAAATAGTAATTGGTTGCAGCCCTATGTGACAGCTTCAGTTACTAGTGGCTTTGTTGATTAAGATTGCACATATAAAACATGATGATTGTTCTAATAATTATACATATAATAAAATCACCATGAACCTCGATTAAAACCTCCAAATCATTCATTCAACTCAATTCATAACTACATGACTGTTCCTTTTTTAAAAAGTGTATAAATTTGGTGTTGCACCCCGTAGCCACGTCCCCTAAATTATTCTCTCTGCTGCATTTTTAAAATTTGCTGGGAGGGAGGGAGCTAACAGAAATTAGAGGTTTAGTCACACTTTAACATTGCTAATTCTACTAATTGTAGACTGACAAGAAAGATGGACAGAAAAAGCAAGGTAGAAGACATATGAAAGTCCCATGGCATGGTACACCTCCTAGACCACTAGGCCACAGAGCACTTTAAAATGGATCTGAACACTTCTTCCCCAACCCAACATAGGCAGGAATACAAATGCGAGTTTACTGTAAACACAGTTAAAGCTGCAGTAGGTAACCTTTATAAAAAAAAACTTTTTCTCATATTTGCTGAAATTTTCACTATATCCTGACAGTAGAACACGAGACAGATAATCTGTGAAAACATCAGGTTCCTCTGGCTCCTCCTAGTACTCCTAATGACATTAGCAAGAATCCACCGGGCCTGAACAAAAACACAAAATATGAGAATAATATAAAGATGCTTTGCATTGCTGGCTTGAAGATAGTTGATTGTTTCATTCCCAAGTGTCTGTATTTGATGTCCTGGGAATGAGACTCAACAATCAATAATATTTTCTTCTTGTATTGAAGAACAAACACCCAACTCCATGGAAGAATTCACCTGTTATGTCGCTGAAAGCCTTTTCTTTGGTCCCATTTTTCTTTAAGCAAACACGTGTCTCATTAAAATGAATCATCCAACCTTGCTACAAGGTTTCATCTTAAAGAATAATGCTAATTGCTTAGTGAAAATACTGGATTGTCCTTTCTTACAGTGTAGAGGTCCAATGAGATAAAGTGCCATGCTTTTAATGAAAGAAGGGTAGTATGGTTTACCCACCTTTCCCTTTAACACTACATCACTTTGCCTGTGTGTAACTGAGAATCAAAACATCCTCCTCCTCCACGCTCTGCTCAGATGAGTAGCAGCTGTAGTCTAGCGGAACTGAACTGAGACGCGACGTCTCTCATGTTTAAGTTTCCTTCTTTGTCGTTGTGATGTCGGGCGCCGCTGTTGTTTATCCCTGTGTCATCCCTCAGGAGCTTTCTGTTTCCTAACCCACTTCTCCTGCCTACGTACTGTTTCCAGCGAGGAACGGGGGAGGAAGTCTTTCATCGACGTGGGAGGAACATCCAAAATAAAACCACGATGCACTGCCAACCTAATTCTGACCACATCATAGACTACATCACCTTAAACGCACCCTGTATTGCAACCTTATGTGTCACACAGGGAGGAATAACACTAGTCCTGGCTCCAGGTGTGTTTTGAGGAGGTCACAGGGAGGAGATTTAACACAATGTAACTGCTGTTAAATTACCCAGCTGTGATTTAACACTGTATCTCAGCAGTTTATCCTTTAAAGCCTCACATCTCTTTTAAACATGTGCCCCCCCCCTTACCTCCATTCTTCCCCTTTTTCTCCCCCTCTGTCCGCCTTTTACTGCTGCGCTTTATCTACCTGCCATACCTTTGATCATCTCACAGACCGAGGAATAAAGGACAAAGGGGGAAGATAAAGAGAGGACTGTCCTTCAAAATAAACTCTCCCGTTTTAATGTGCGAGGGTAGGTTGCCATAGCAACAGTTAGGCTTTTCCCAAGAGGGCGCAGCTTTTGTTTTTTCATTTCTTTTGCACATGATTGCTTATCGCTTGGTTTGCTGTTAATAATGGCTTATGAAAAAGGATGAAAAACAAATAAAAGCGGTTGCCTTCCTATAGGCTGACCCTGGCAGGCGTGCGCTTGCTAACGAGGCAGGGTAGTTCTCTCCCGGCCCGGCTCACAGAGTGCATTAATTGCAATCTGTAACCGATTTGGTTCGCCACGTCGTTTTTTTTAATTAACTGCTTGAACAGCTTGAGATCAACAGTAAGCCCACCAGCATCATCTGAAGTCATTTACAATCAGCGTGCCTCCAACTTGAAACTTTTAATTAGGTAGCATAGTTACTCTCACTCAGCTCGCTCCACGCATAGGGACTGTCTCTAAATGTAAAGCCATATAGTATGATACATTAAATTAAGCATGATGAAGTGCATGTTAATTTCATATCATGTCTTATCGTTGATTAGTGTCCTACCAACCTCCCCTCCAAGATTTAATGGCAATACACATCACTTATGATAAACAGGCTGTAGTAGAGGAGGAACATCTGAACTCAGCCTGTTGGTTGTTCTGCTCATGGACTTCAGACACATCAATATGCAAATAGCGAGATTGCAAAAGCTAACCTGAAGCCAAGTCACAAATCCAGCCAGTAATAACGTTTGATACAACAAATTGGAATATTTGAGATGACTAAACTGGATCCAACTGCACCGCCATGTGAGTTAATCCCTTATTAATCAGACCTGGAAGGAGGAAATCCAGCATTACTCTTCCTGAGGAAAAACTCGCATTAGGGAATCAGATTGAATTAACTCTCACATTTATAGTCTCATATTATAAATTTTTCATGGTGTTGTTTTCAGATATATCATGAACAACATTTTCCAAATAAATGCTCTTCAGCTAAAATTTTAGTGAATTAGTTCAATTGAAAGAATTAGAAGGTGAAACCGCTTTTGGGTTTTCCACTCCAAATGCTACAAGCTTGCCTGACTGGAAGGATTTCAGTCACTGCAATCAGAGTCAATCAGACGTTGAGTCTAGTTTTGTGATGCATGAGCTGAAATTAGAAGAGAAATGCAATTTTACACATTACAGTGGTTTTACAAATGTAGGGGTGTACTACTGCATACGTTAAAAAAGTTATATCAAGTCTTTAGTGGCTCCAGAGGAAGCCTTGTGAAGTCTGAATTGCCTCAAGTGATGTCAGTTGAGTCAGCATCGTTTGGGGCTGAACACTACAAGTTTAAAAATAAAAAAAATCTGGGGGCGTGGAGTTTTGAAATTAGCTTACCTGAACTCTGTAGCCCACTCCTCATCTATGCTTGAAGCTAGCAGCTCCAAGCTACATCAGCCGCTACTAACACACCCCAATCTGCCGTGGCACAAATCTATGTCTTTTGGAGAAAAAAAAGAACAAAAATCTTTTTTTGGTTTATATTGTTATACAAGTGTGATGCTACATTGGTTGGGGAGTGTTATAATAAACACATACATGAACATTAAATCCAAGTGAAATCTAGGGCTGTCCCCTAATAAGTGCCTAAACCATTGATGAGATGACTCTTAGTCTACGCCCTTTTCATCAAGTCTAGAAAAACAAAAACAATGTTAAACTCCATGCTCGGGAGCTGGGCCTTGTCACCGAGACAAAAGTATCGGGGAACTGCTGCAACAGGGACTTATTCTCTTGAAACAATCTCTCTTACCAGTGCACTGCTGCATGTGCTAACTGTACTAGCTGCTGCCACTAGCTAGTAAGCTGTCTTATTAGTTGATTGTACCCGGACTGCAAGCTTGAAGTACCAGACGAGGTTTGTTTACACCACTAGCATAGAAGCTTTGGAGTGCTGGGAGGAGGGGGGTTTCAGGCCTGGGGAATGAGCACCAGAGCCAGAGTCAGGCGAGCGAGCAACAGAGCCGCCTTAACTAAATGTTCAGCCTTCTTGTCTGGTTGTTCTGACACATTCAGAATCATCATCGCATCAACATTCATGTTAGTATCAGTTAGCATTTAACACTTTTGAAATATATATACATTTAAATAATTAAATTAATATTATAAACATTTGATGTCAACTAATGCCTTGAGCTAACTACAACTATTCGTCTGGAAAATCTTTGGTTGGGGACAGGCTTAGTTAAATCAATAATGGGGAGGTTGGGGTCGTGGAGGTAACCACTCACCGAAAGCAACTTAAGTGTTAATACTGGATTACCATTTTGCCATTAGTTTGTTCACACTTCAGCAGATCCAGTATTGAATCTTTCAAGAATTCCCCCTGCTCATTATTAGTCAGCTGACACGTTTTTTTTCCTCCACTTGGTTGCTCTATTGAGTTCTGTCAATATGACGTAAATGTGGTGTAGTAGTAGAGGCGGAGGTTCCCTAGAAAGAACAAACACGACAACCATCAGATTTAAACCACATTAATGTTAAATATTGACACATTGTATTAATACATATTCAAATAGGATTTGGATGTGTCACTCAGTCCCTTCTGAAACCTCCATTACATCACTTGCAACACATGAAGGAGAACCTTGATAGTCAGAGTGCAGACAGTTTGCTATGATTGCAGCTCAAAATAGGAGTGAAAGAGAGTATCAGTCTTCACTCACGTTGCATGGAGAACTCCTGCACCATGGCAACATATTGCTGTGACATATACTGAGGACACATTTCCATCTAGATGGCAGCCTGTTGTTTTCCTTCTATGTTGGAAAATCACACCACTGGTTAGCATACATACACGCATCTAGGTCGTTACCACAGCAACCAATGCAGATAGTTGCCTGAAAAACCAAATCTGACGTAATCACACACACATACAACATGCTGGAAAGGCAGTCCTATACATTGGAACCAGAAAACAAGCTGTTCCTACAGTCTGAACACAGTCTGGGGCCTAGCATTTCTTCAAACTGTGAGAAAGCACAGTAACCAGTGAGCACTCACAGCACACATTACACAGCACACAGCGCGGAGGTGTGATCAATTCATTTTTGCGATAAAAAAAAAAAAACTGGCGATATTGGCAAAGGTTTCGAGACTACAAATATAAAGCAGAAAGCCTGCGTTAGATACTGGGGGTGTGGAGTTTGAAAGACATGGGTGTTAACAGAAGAAACTATTGAGTTGAATTATGGGAAATGTGGGATCCATCTTTTTGGAGACAAAAAGTCAGGATATCATGTCCCTTGTGAGTCCCCCCAACTTTATGAACATGGAATATTGAAATGCTGGCACACAATTTACACGTGGATTACTTAAATACAAAATGCTTGATTGGGAAAGAGGAATAACTAAACACACAGCACAGAAAAAGCAATAGGAAAGGGATTTTGGAAAGGTCTGTGAGTGCGCTACCGCCAACAAAACCCCCCCAAAACTGCTGTTTGCACTCTTATTTGCGATAAGAGGTGGTCTGAGTATGTGGAAACCTGACCTGATGCCAAAACAAGAGCCAAAAAAAACGGCACTGCTCCTGTGTCTGATCTGCATGTTGGTTTCAGCTTGTTTTTACAGGGTAATCTGCAAGTGAAAATCCTGCCAATGGGTAAAAAAACAGAACTGTATTGATGGACATCACAATACACTGAGGTTTGAAATGAAAGATGAAAAGGACCATATTGGCTACTGCTTTGAACACCACACTATAGCGTGAAATACAGCAGCAATCTTTAACCTGCTGTATGTGTTTGAATTTCTTAAACACAGCCCCCTTCCCTGAGCCTCCTTTAATCTTCCTTTCGAGTGTGTCTTACAGGTCGGGCTGTGATTTGGGAAAAGGCGCCTCCTACACCAGGTTGTTTTTAGTGCTATAACCTATTTTTCATTATTTAGAGGTCAGATAAAATGCCTGGTGTGCTTTATTCCGGTCTCCTCTCTGTGCTCTCTCTCACTGTGGGTGCAGGCAGTTCAGCAAGGGATCGTTTATTGACTTGTATTTAATTAGTCTGCAGTATTCAAATAGCGCATCTGTGCTGCAGTCTGTAGCTGACCTCGGTACACCGAAAAAGTTGCCAAAATGTGTTAGTGCGTGCACGCGTGTGAATGTGTGTGCGCTTATCTGGATGTGTGTGTGTGTGGAAGTGTATAAAAAATTCCCAAAGAAGGTGCCTCAGCTTTATCAGACAGACAGCTTTTCACACTGACCTGGTTTTAACAATGCGGAATTCGTTCCCCAGTGCTCCAATAGCAGTTCCACCTCCCTGAGTCCGATACTATCAGTCCTGTTTTGGCTCAAACAAGCCTTATCTGGTAAAGTTCAGCACAGGCCAGCTACTTCATGGTGACAACCTGCTATTGATACAGATCCATTTAACTTTAGGAGCGAGAAAAAGTATTCGCAGAGTAAAGATAGACACAGGAAAGTGAAGACACAGCAGTTCCTGTTTATTACTAAAGGCCTCAGAATAAATCATCTGGGACATTTATTTTCATATAAATAAATGTGTTTTGTTACTTTCCTCTGTTCACTGATGCAACTGAGGTTCAGACCGTTGACGTCCTGCAGTGAGCTCACCCAAGCGCTAAAGAGCGATAGAGATACTGTGGTAAAATAAGGGAGATAAGGGAGATGCATGTGATGCTGCCTAGTTGATCATATCCATGAACATAGAATCATGTACACACACACAACTGCAGGTCAGCTTCAGTGACATTTACATCTAGCGACCTGGTGAACAATCCCCATTCAGGATACTGCAGAGGAATTGAAAAAAAACCCCAAACAAAACCATACAGTAAATATAAGCAGCATCTACTGACGTGTTAGATGTGGGAACATGTTCATCCCACTCTACGAGCCCTGTCTGTTTAAGTTTATGGCAGATGGACCTTTTTTCCCAGCAGACATTTTGACACACCGTAGCAGAAAAAGCTTGGGGGCATTTAATAACATTAATGATGTCTGCATTCCACTTAGGGAAGGTTGTGTGTGCTTGCTCCCTGGGACACTTGATTTAACTTCTTATTACTTACTTCTTAACATTCTTAATTTTGTTATTCCACCTGTGCTTTTTCTGCTATGACAAAAGCTTTTATTGCACACGGAGCAGGATGTGGTATACACTGTTTAGCATAATGACACTTAAGTTCATATTGAATGAAAGTTACTATAGTGACTTAATACTTGTCTCGCCACTCACTGTACTTCTTCAACAAATCCAAATGCTATTTCTCAATGTCTGCAGTTAGCTGTGAAAATGCGAAAGTCATCATTCATAACATGATCACTGCAAAGCCTTGTTCTAAGTTTAACCACAGAAGGGCTCCCTTAGGGGCCGGTCACACAGAGATGCACTGCTAGAAATGTGTCGCCTGCAAAACCATTGTTTTCCTATGGTACGCCTGAACTGTGCTCCTCTCTTGCGCATGAAATTAAAAAAAAACTTTTGGAGTGGAGTTACACCTCTCGTCAATGTCACAACTGGCCCGGACAGCCAGTCAAATCAAGCAAGAGGCGGGCTTTACTACTTTACCACTTCTTTCAGTTTTGATGCCATTAACTATGCTGGTAAACAGGTCTGCTTGAATCCACTTTTTTCCGTGATAATATACGATCACCCAGGCGAACCAGCTGGTTTTTCCCCCGCGCTCTTTGCCAAGGCATTTTAGAAGTAGCCA